GAAGAAGTCCACAGCATTCCTCCTGTTATTCCTCATATTGTTGTTTCTCCTTCCATGGATGGTGAATGAAGTACATCAGAAAAATGAACAGAGTTTCCCTGGACGTAGCGGGGGTCACATGACTAAAATGATCCAATAGCAACACAACACAGTTGTGTATCTGAGTTGATGTGCAGCCCATCTGTTCTCTGATTGGATGTTAAATCTATGATGGACAAGACATTGACCAATCAGCTGGAGGCAGAAAAGGTCAGAATTCGTACTTGTAAAGTGAAACTCACATGTAAGTTTTGAACTTGAGCAGAGAGATTTACACGTAGCTTTTTGCTTTGTACCTGTAAACAGACCTTAACAAAAAAAGACTGTAACTTGTGTAAATATTTTTAAAGATACAAATCTTATTTTTACAGATACAAATCTTATTTTTACAAATACAAATCTTATTTTTACAGATACAAATTTTATTTTCACAGATACAAATCTGTTTTACACAGACACATTCCTATTTACAAATCCAAAAGTTACAAATCTTAATCTACAAAYACAAAGTCAGTTTTACAAGTACAAATACGATTCGACTAAAATCTGTGCCCATACTCTTCTTTTAATCTGTGCCATTGCCTCCAAACCCTGAAACATACTGTAGTTTGTCTCACTACTGTCTCATAAACATTTCCTTTGACCTTTGCTGTCACCCTTTTGTCACTCCAGTAACTTTCCTCCCTTCCTCCCATTCTTCTGGGACTCTCATCTTCACCTCTTTCACTCCCTGTTTCCCTGGAAAGTCAACTCTAAGTACTTTAAGTCCTGTACCTTTGTGACCTCTGCTCCTTGTAGCCTCACTGTTCCACCTGTTTCTCTATCAGTCAGACATGTACTCTGTCTAGCTGACTTTAATTCCTCTTCTTTCAAATGCATACTTTCACCTCTTCAAGTTCTCTTCCACCTGTTCCCTGTTCTCACAACAGATCGCAATGTCATCTGCAAATATGTATCATTGTTAACAGGGATTCCTGCTTGAATTCATGCTAGTCTATCCATCACCACGGCAAACAAGGAAAGGCTGAGAGCCGCTCCTTGATCCAGTCCCATCTCCACCTTGAAGCTATCTGTCACTCCCACAGCACGTCTCACCAGTGCCCTGCTGTCCACATGGCCTGTACCAGTCTAACACTTCTCTGCCACTCCAGATTTCCTCATAAAACACCACAGCTCCTCCCTCAGCACCCTGACCATCCATCCATCCATCCATCCATCCATCCATCCATCCATCCATCCATCCATCCATCCATCCATCCATCCATCCATCCATCCAACATTTTTTTTTAAATCCACAGACACAACGAAGTTCTTTCTGTCCGTCTCTAAACTTCTCAATAACCATCCTTATCAGAATTCCCACTATTTGGGTAAATAAGGACACATTTGTCACATAATTTTTTAAAATTTTTGTTTACAATAAATGTGTATTTTGTCAAAATTTTTAAAATTATAATTGAACGGTTTCGATAGGAATAAGAAAACAAGTAAACAGTTTAAGTCTTAAAAACAAAAAAATATTTGGCTTTTATAAGACTACCTTTACTGTTTCAGTCCTTACTGGTGAGGGTCTGCAGTTTTTTTATTAATTCCTCCAGTATGAAGCACTGGGATGATGGTGCGATGCTAACATTTTTACCAGGGTTGTTATTGAGCTCACTGTAAAAACTTAAAGGCTGCTTTGATTCAGTGAGGACACACTTCAGAAAACAGACCCTTTTTTTTCTTGCCAGATTGAGTTTTCTGGGTGAAATAAATCACTGCTTTTGTTCAGGCTGATTGCTGCAGTCCTGCGCTCTATCAGGCAATCTATTAGGCAGTATTAGAAGTTATTAGTGAGGTCCAACCCATTTCCTGAAGACGTTTGCTAATCACTCAAGCCAATACAAACACATTAGAAGTAAACCTAGATGTCTAATACAAAATTACACATATAGAAGTGACAACTTTTACCCTTCTTAACGATTGTGATCTGACATCATCCCTTCATTTAACTGTGTTTTCACAGATACTGTATGTTTTTTTGCTGAACACATGGTATCATTAATATATATGCTGCTCATTGTAATAAAGTTGAAGTGGGTACTTGAGTTCATTTGGTTTAAAACTGTCAGTCAGAGCTACTTTACTGCTGAATAAATGACTTGACTTTGTTATGACCTGATTATCTTTAAACATGTAAGAGGTAAAATAATGTGGCACGTAGGCAAATATTGGAACATTATATCCCTTGTTAGCTATAATGAAAATACATTAATGAGTTGTTCAAACAGCAGATTTGGTTGGTGTCTCATTATTTAAAAACATGATTTTTACATTCAAACACAAAGACATTCAAGTACAATTTTCAATTAATTGTATTTGGTCTGAGGCCTATTTTAAGTCAAGTTTTAGATTTCATGCACTCTGTCCTGGTCAAGAAACTAAAGCCATTGTGTTTTATGAATATTTCATCATAAAGTAAAACATTTTAACACGGTCTACTTTTTTCTTGCAGCAGTGGGCAGACACTTGAGAAAATCTTGCTTCAACAAGTCTGCTTTTTGGGTTTCAGAAATAAGTGTGTGAGCTGCATTTCAGCAGTGAAATTTTGTGTTTAGTTTGTAAATTCCAGACAAAACAGCATTCAGTGAGATGACTGTAGGAGGTGTGGAGGGATTATACTTGCTGCTGCTGATTTATTCAATAAAAAGAAATGGATACCCTGTTTTGAATCAGATGTTCTTAGTCAGAGAGGAAGAAAACCCAAATTCCCCTTGCATATGTTTTTTTTAATACAGGAAGGAGACATTTAGGTGGGTTCCCTTTCAAAAATGCTAATTTTAATTCAAAGTAATTTGGAAGATCTGCTCCTTCAGGAAATAAAGGGAAATGGCATAAATAGAATGCATGACAGCTGGTGGTTTGCTGTGGAACAGATGTGTCGTTTCTGCAATACCCAGATGCCAAGAAGAAGGGTCTGTTTGGTTAACAAAGTTAAACTATGTGCAAATATTTTAATCTTATTAAAATTAAAGGAGAAAAAATGGGTTGGTTTTAAGTGATGAGAACAGTTAACATGTCCTAAATTATCACTAATGTAGATGTTTGGTTGCTGTTTCGACCTATTTATCGAGTTTGTTCACTTACAAATTATTGCTTCTTCGTGATGTCGTTGTGCTGTAACACATAGCATTGTAACACAGTTAAATCTAGAGATGTAGAACTTAAATATGGTGGTAGTAGCTGAGCATTATTTTCAGTAGATACACTGAAATGCTCAATGGAATCATCAGATGGACGTTTATAACAGTTGCATGAGGTTTGCACTAATAAACTTAATGTTATTATAAACATAGAAAAAAAGATGATGGGGCAGCAAACCAAGTTGGGACAAGGAGGCACAGAGGGTCACTAAAAAGCACTGAGGAAACTGGATGTGGTGGTAAATAAAATGCACTATGCTACACTGACAATTCAGTGCAGGCTAAGACGCTATGGACTGAGGCTGAACGAGGAGACAAGACACAGCTGGGCTTAATGAAACGAGGTGCAGGTGTGAGTGGGCGTGGCAGGATGAGGAGCACAGACTGGCTGGAAGACACAGGGAGGCAAAGAGCAAATCTTCAGTCATCATAAAAATATATATAACGTAGTCAAATTTAGCTAAGGTTTTACGTAGTAGCAGCTGACAGTCATCCACAGCCAAGTACCCACGCCTTTCATTCGATCTATCATTGAGGGGTTCTTGTAGCAAAGTGGTAGGGTAGCTATCCTGGGACTGGAAAGTTGCAGCTTTGATTCCCCAATATGCCCATATATAGTAAGATCCTTGAGCAACATATCTAATCCCTAAATGCTCCTCTGGCAGTTTATATGGCTGCTTGTTGTGCCACTGTGGTGTGTCTCATGTGTGATTGTTTAAATGCACATTTTGTCACTGCACAGTAATGCGAGTGA